GCATCCCTGCCTCTCTGGTTGGGACAGGCGGCACAAAGGGGCTCCCTGGGATTATAAATCGCCACTTTTCAGAACAGTCTACATGTACTGAGATGTGCAGAGACAGGCTTGAAGCGAAAAGCACTGCTCTTTCCAACAAGGAGGAGCATGGCTGCCGAGGAGCCCTCCTCTGCTCTGCAGGAGGAGGAATCTCGCACAGATGGGCACGACCAGAGCGTTTTCTGTACATGCAGTGTGCTCGCCTGAGGTGTTCGTCCAACAAAAAAAAACTTCTGAGTGCTATAAATTCAGCTTAGCAAAAGGCCGTTTCCCCTCTCAAAGAGAAACAAACCCCACTACATCTCAGACATGAATGGTTCAACTGCCAAAAAAATGCATCTGTTTCTTCTTCTTTTTTTTTTTTTTTCTCCTTCCAACTATATTGTTTGATCCAAGACAGGGAGGGGGGAAAAAAAACAAAACCCTCTCTTTAGAAGCTTCACCTTCTCTGAGATCTGCATTTCAGCTTGAGGTCATGTACTCCACTTACAGTCAAATTCAGCCATGGTGTAAGCTGAGACTCAGCACAGTTCATACTATGGATAACTTTGGCTCAGTATTATTTTTTTTTTTAGTTCTGTACTTGCAAACAATGATTAGCCGGTCTCCATACTGTATTACTTACAGAAGCCCAGATTAGAATGAAGTCTGTAAAGTTTCTGTAACAAGCCAGGAGTGTTAAGCGTTACAGCACCAAAAGATAATCAAAACCCCAGCAAGTTCAACAGCACTTCTGCTTCCATTCAGAAGGTTTTTTTTCCTAAGGTAATCTTTATCAAAAGTGAATATAAATATATCACTCATATACACACAAAAGCTAAATCTGTGCCTCGGTGCCTCAGCTGACAGGCAAGACTTCACGCTAGTGGAATTTCTTCAACTGCATCTCTTTTACCTCCAGGTTAACTCTCCACATTGCGAAAATATTTCATCTTGATGCTCGAAAGAAAACCAGATCTACTTCTGAGCAACAAACATTTTCCTCTAGCAGCACGCACACCAACAACCTTTACCCCGCGCTAGGTAATGATTAGTGGTTTTTACAAGGATTACTTACTAGAGTGCAATATCCTATGTATGAGTCCCAGAACAACGC